GAAATTTAAGTGGTTGGAGCAGAGAATACTAGGCGGTCGTGACTTAACAATGACATGCATGTGTTAAGTGTAGTACTTTATCTTTTTGTTTTTCGTGTCATGTATTTTCATTAGTTGTACTGAATTTAAATTATGTTAAGTTGCTATGTTTGTGTTTGTGTTGTAGTATTAAAATAAAGAAGAACCAGGGAACTAAAAACATAATGCGCATATATTGTAAACATAAAAAATTATTGTAATTATTTACATAAAATAATATTTACATAAAATACAAAAAAAATAAAAAATCAATGTGTCCCATAGCCTGTGTGCTTCAATGCAGCTGCTGGCCTGAGGTGCATCCCATTCCGCCCAGCTACGCTATCAGGATCATCCTCATCACGTCGCCTCTTTATCCCAAGATGGACTGCAGCATGATCGTCAGTAGTGCTGGTAGGATCGATAGAAGGGGTCGTTGTCCAGAAGCAACCTATAGAAGAATAAATCAGCTCAATATATGAAAATATATATTAGTAATGTACGTGTTAAGTAAAAAAAATTTAAATTATCTTATCATGGTCTCGTCGGGCTCCTGAATATAAGCATCCACCGCATCCAGGTCAACATCGTACAAAGTAGGCTCCGTGACGGGCGGGGATGAAGCCTTAATAAGAAAATTATAAAGTTATTTATGGCGAATCAATGAGATTGAAACAAATTTAAATTTAATAGTAATACAAATATACTTGCGCCTGTGAAATGTTGCTGCATCTGCAGTCCCAAATGGTGGAATAAATGTAGGCCAATAGCCTGCACAACATGTAAAATATAAATTACGGAATGCTAGGTTACAGTTATAAGTAAGAATACCAAATAACATACCAGTGCATCGTGCCTCCCGGCGTATTGAACGTACCGACCGCCAGGTCGATGAATGGGATTCCCGACGAAAAGTCGGATAACGCCGCGGTACCAGCACATATAATCATGCTCAATATCCGACAACTCGGTGAAGGGGGAGGGGGGGAGGGGGCGAAATCAGGTCAAATCGCTGGTCCCAAGTATCGATCTGCTCCTCTAGCTATGCCAAATATGCGGCGTCCACCCTGGAACGATCATCGCGCTGGAAATGTGTGGTCTGCCAGGTGGGCGGTGTCGATACAAGCTGCGGACGGCCAAACTAGCGAAGTGCCCGCTCGGTGGCATGATGCTCCTCAATATCAAGGCACATCAACGGGACGGAAGAGCCCCACATAAGTCGGCCGGCCGAGCAATAATCGGGCAACCCACCTATTAACGCGTCGTTGTATGGCGTCCAGATGAACTATTAAGTAACAACAGAAAATGTGATTATACGCAACACATGTGAAGCTATGACAAGTAAACTTAGATATACATTTACCTGTGCGCCCTCAAGCAAATCCAAGATATCCCTGCACAAGGATAGATTATGCCGAGCCTCGTACACACGCGTATATCCCCGCCGGAGAACCCACCTCCTAGCTAGAGGGAGCAACGGAGGTGGTACATCCGTAGCTAATAGTGGTAGAGGTGGCTGCAACTGCAGGAACCGCTACAAGGCCCAAACCTAACATAAAAAGTTGACGTAAAATTTAATATATATTTTTACTAGGTATGTTAAAATGAATAGAGTATTCGAATATGTTGTCACCTGTAGTAGCGTCAAAAATCCAGCGACGTCACACTGGGTGCCCGTGCTCGCCAGGCATATCTGCCTGTACAAGTAGGCGAGAACAACAGCACCCCAGCTGTACTGGGGTAAATCATCTAGCCGCTCAAGAAGATGAAGAAATCTCAAGCTCACTAGGTTCCCTGAAGTGTTCGGGAATAAGACCCCTCCAAGCATAAGAAGTAGCAGCAACTTCGTATACTAGTAAACATGATAATCCGGTGTATCACCATCAATGTCAGGATGAAATGTCTCCAAATACTCTCGAATAGTCGTCAACGGAAAACGACTGATCCCAGCCAGTACATTCTCATGGCATGCGACAGAGCAACGGGGCATGCGGCATGTACAGGTACTCCACACCTGTCATCTCTCTCATGGCATGCGGCAGAGCAACGGGGTGTCCATTAACGGGAAGCCCATATATAACCTTCATGTCTTGTAGTGTGATGGTGGCCTCGCCAATGGGCAAATGGAATGTGTGCTTCTTCGGTCGCCACCGCTCTACCAGGGCCGTGACCAAAGACCAATCGAGCTGCAGCTGCCCGATCTCCAAAATCCTGTAGAACCCCGTATCACGCAGGCGTCTGGCTACACGGGGATGGAGCTGGCGGTCCTTAAGAGAGTCCCACATGTCGTCCACTCTCCTGACGCGGAGAGTCTGGGCCAGTAACTCTCCCTGCCATATGTGGGCGGACCTATGATCGCTCTGTAACGACAATAGCTCATCGCTGGAAGGTCCGGGATGAAAAGGCGGCACCTCCCTGTCGTCTACTGTAAATTAAACAACATTAATTACATGTTAGTTTTATGATTTTATATGTTTGTTTGTAAAGTAAATAATTAGTTTTTATAATTATACAATATTTAATTATTATGTATTCACACAAGGGTTCCAGGCTCGATATTTGAGGCTCAGTAGCACCAAGATATCCTGAATTCTTGTATGTGTTAGTTTTATTATTTTACATGTTAGTTTTATAATTTTATATGTTTGTTTGTAAAGTAAATAATTAATTTTTATAATTATATAATATTTAATTATTAAATAATCACATATGGGTTCCAGGCTCGATATTTGCGGCCCAGTAGCACCAAGATATCCGGAAAATATTGTTCTTTTCTCATGTTATTTTCTTACGATCGTTGACTATAATTGGACAGAGTTTGTGTTTGATCTATCAATTATTTTGACGTATTTTTTAGTATAAGAGATACTTAAACTACAAGGATACTACGCTAAAAGGCACTACATTTTATTACGCTAAAAGGCAATACATTTTACTACCCTAAAAGGGCACTATATTACTAGTCTTAAGCAAATAAATAATATAAATCAGATAAAAAACAACAAATACATTTAATCACAAAACATTCACGAAAATACATATACAACAGTAAAAAAAACTTATTTACATTTTTTTAACAAATAATAATGATTTCTCAATTTTTACATATTTTTTTAGCACACTAATATCTAAGTCCGGACAAAAATAACATACCAGTTTAATCGCAAAAAACACACAAAACAACATAGAGCACATGTAAAACAACTAATATGCAATTTTATACGAGTTTCGACAAAAACTAAATCGGAATACCTCGATTTAGGTTTTTTTGGAAAGTTGAAGAATTGAAGATTTGAGTCCGAAACGAGCAACCCACAACGAGAGAAGGCCTTAGCTAGGATGTGGGACCAACACACTTTACTTTTTGTGGGACGGGTGGGGTCCACTCGAGTTTTTTTGGCTCGTTAATAGAGGGGGGACCGCTGGAACGAAATTTTAAATTGGGGGGGGGGGGGGAAGGGGGGTTGCTTTCTGTTCTGAACATGGGGGAAGGGAAGGGACGGGTAATGAAGATGTAAAGCGTGGTTTAGTAAAGCGTTTTACATAAAGCGCTTTATCAAACCACATTTTAGTTAAACGTCTTATCAACTTCAGGTAAAGCGTGGTTTGAAAAGGCTTTTTATGTAAAACATGGCTTTGAAACGTGCTTTACCTTAACGTCCCAAACGGACGTTAGAGTAAAGCGCGGTCACTAAGTTTTTTCCCCACTTATTTCGGTATTTTGTGTCCAAAAAGACCACAATTGAGTTCCGGACTCCTACTAATAGGGGCGGCAATTTGAGCCCAAACCCATTTGATCCGTCCAACCCGCCCAAGGTTGAGCTGGTCATTGATCTGCCCATTTGTTAAACTCATCCTATCTTGACCCAACCCATTTCAGTCCATCTAAAGTTGGGTTGATTTATAGCCCAAATTGATCCATGAGTATCTTTAACATAATAATTTTATTGTTTGATAGTAAGTTATATATGACCATAACAAATGTAAAAAATTCTTATTTATTAAACAATACATAAAAGAATAATACACATTAATTAAAGCTTGGTAAGAGTTTGGTAGGTTGGGCTATGACCCAAATTTTAGCCCAACTTGACCCACTACATCTTAGCCCAAGTTATTTTTGGGTAGGTCAATTGACCCGCCCATTTGTCGATTCAACTCGTTTTGACCGTCCAAAATCAGCTCAACCCGCCCATTTGATAGCCCTAGCTACTAATATACTATTGTTTAAAGTAGCTAATTATGGATTATGTCAAAAATAAAAGCATATAATTCTGCTTTGCCTAATGCCTCCAAGTCTTCCTGGAATAGTAACTGACCATTTTACAACCCTCGTGAGTCTTACGCCAGTTTAACTTCTAATTAATTACTGTGTAAAGATAATTTTCACATTATTAAATTACCTAGAAAATAATTTTATATGTAATTTTATGATAAATGTAACAAGTTACTTATACAATAAGGCAAACAAATTGCTACAACATATTTGATAATACAAAAATTATTTATAGTGTCAATGTATATAAATTTAGTATTCCAGCCTCTATCCCATTTTATGTGGTATTTTTTTCTTCTTAGTTTATCCGAGAAAGAATGACACTTATATTTTTTTCCGAAACCATTTAATTTTTAGCATCCTCATTTTGTCGTTAATGATATGACTTGTTGGGATACTTACCACTGTTGATTTAAAAGAAAAGATATATATACTCAAACGTATTTATAACAACCTTGTTTGTTTTGATATTTTTTGGTTGCTATAATGAGTACTATCATAAATAACTTATATTATAACATAACATAAAAAGCTAGTTCTAAAAAAGCTTAGCTGTTATAGTAAAGTGTTATTATAAAGGTAACAGTTATGAAAAGGTGGGACTCATATCACCATACCAAAAATCTTTCTCTAATTTATTAACTCTATACTCCCTAAGAGAGTTCAACTATAAAAGCAGCAACATCAATTTCTCTCTTTCATTTTCCCTTCTAAAATCACCAACTTTCTTGTTTTTCTTCCCACTTCCTTCTTTTTTCATCCATTTCTCCTTCTCCTTCTATATAGATCTTTAATTATTTACTTCCCCTTTCTCATAAATCATGGCTTCTTCTGGCCATATACCACCACATGATCAAAACAACAACCAATTACACAATGTGAACTACATCTCATCATGTTCTTCTCCATCTTATAATATTAGTAATTCAGACTCCAATTTTACCACTTTTGTCCAAGCTGACCCCTCCAACTTCCGTTCTGTAGTCCAAAAACTCACCGGTGCAGCATCAGCTTCCCGGCATCCCGTCGTCGGAAAATCCAACTCCGGCGAGAAAGGTCCTCGGCGTCCGACTTTCAAGTTACACGAACGAAGGCATAGCGCAAGAAAGCTTGAAAATATTCTCACTGGTAAAATTTTGTCACCACCTCCTTCTAATAGGCAAATGGTTATGGCTTCTCCAGTGTCACCTCTGGAAATGCTGACACGTGGAAGTCCAAAATCACCAATGGAAGAATTAGAAGAAAGAGCTATTGCTGATAAAGGATTTTATTTACATCCAAGTCCACTTACTACACCAAGAGGCACTGAGCCACCTCAACTCTTGCCTTTGTTTCCACTTCAGTCCCCTACAGCTAGAGATCATTCTTCTTCTTAATTAATTAAATTGATGCCTGTCTTGACTCTTGTTTTAAGATTAGATATAGCCAAATTAATCTTTAATCTTTTTGTTAATTCTGATGTTGTAGTGCTCGTTGTGTCTCAAAAAATATTTAAAGATGCTTAGATGATACCATACGCTTGTACTTTTTTTTGGTTTTTCCATTAGTCTTGCACTCTTTTTTAACGAAGTAGTAAATGTGTGCCTAAATTTTTATCAGTGCTCCTAATTACTAAGAGTAATTTTTCCCTTTTCATAATATTTCTTATTTAAATTTTAGGGTTAAGGTATGGGTATTGACATCGACAGAGGCGGATCTATAGGGCTAGGTAGTATTGAATTGCCGCATATACCTTCCGAATAAATTTTGTAACCTGTAAACAAAATAGAAACGGAATTAAGATCAGTTCAGTGGACTCGGATTTATTTCACATTTATATTTCTTCTACCGCTACATGCTAGCTATTCTTTACTGTACTATTGGCTGGATATTTGAAGAAAGTTCACTAGAGCAATGATTAGTTCTTTAATTTGCTTGTAACGTTTGTACAACTTTAGGTTTAGCACAAACATTAATGAAACTAGTACTACACTTGTTCAATGTTTCATCCAGCTGCAACTATGGTATTTAGGTAATTGTGGTTGGCTATCTTTTAGTTCTTAATGTGCTAGCTATTCTTTTTATGTACTATTTGGTTAATTACTGAGCCGAAACAACCTCTCTATCTTCTCAAGATAGCGGTAAGGTCTGCATATACACTATCCTCCCCAAACCCTAATTGTGAGATTATACTAGGTTTTTTGTTTTGTTTTTGTAGTTGTAATATTAGTAGTATTGGTTAGGTACATTTGAAGAAATTTCACTAAGCAATGATTAGTTCTTTTTGTTGTAATAATATTTGTGGAGCTTTAGGGTTAGTAAAACAAGGAACTTTTCAAACTGGTGCTACGTACCGTAATTGACTGTTTGACCAAGCTACATATTTTGGTATATAATTAGAGCCAGTTTTGCTCATAATTCAAATTAACCAAAAATAAAAAGACCAACCGAAGTAATGTAAGTTTAGATCTCTTGGAGGAATATGTAAGTTTCCTGTATAAGCTTTCTTGTCCTTTTTAACGTATAGTTTTCTTTCTTTGAACAAGTCTTTGCACTTCTTTAAGCAATTTCATTTATGGTTCGTTCAAAGTTACTTAGTATATCTTTGCTTAAGAAGTCTAGTCAAACTAAGGTATAAATCAAGATCATTGTTTCAACTGTTAAAACATGACTTAATGTTGCATTTGGATAGTATTTGTTGGAACGGTTAATTAGTCATTGAAAACGAATACTTTTGGACAATTAGTCCTCATTTCACACTAGCATCTCCATTTTTTTTTTCCATTTTATAGGAGAGGAAATAAAATAAACAAATTGAACCGTTGCAGGCCAGTCCAACGTAGTTTAAAGTTGTAAATGAATGTATAACAATATTTGAGCCAATGTCTGTCAAATTAATTCAGGCCAACGGATACAATAGGCCTTCGGTGTATTCAATGAACATGCTACATAAAGCTTCATGAATTTATTGCAAAATCTCTTCCATAAATTTAGGTCTAAGTTTTCATTAGAATTTCAAATTCAAAATCAAGGAATGGATAGAGTGGTCCAAATTCAATATGTTGCTTACCGATTCAAATTACGTACTAGTCAAAGTTGTTCAATAGATAGCTAGTCTCCCTATCCGCGAGAAATTTAAATTTGGCACACCATAGCATCACAATAGTCAATAGTTACTACAACTACGGTACAAGTTTAGAAATGATATTACTTTCAGCTATACTATTGATCGGTGTTTGTTAAACTACATACGTAATGTCGTTTTTAGGTCACTAATTAGAAAGAAGGAGAAGCAAAAAGATGAAGATTTTCGGCGAGATTTGAATTCTGATGAATGGCATGAATCTCACATCGAACCGGGATAAGATTCCTGGTCTCCTTATAAGGTTTGGGAAATTCTCCTCCCTTCGAGCTAACTTTTGGAGTGTGAATTAGGCTCAAAGATTATTGTGACATGGTATCAGAGCCAGACTCGTGGCCGATATGGGCTCCCAAAAGGAAGGGAGGGGGGGGGGGGGTAACCCCGGT